TCCGGCCGCCTCGCTCGATGGAGTCTTCGTCTCCAGGAATTTGATGTCACCGTAACATACAAGTCTGGGAGAAAGCATTCGGACGCAGACTGCTTGTCAAGGGCCCCTGTCGATGAAACCCCAAAGAACGACGACGACAATGCCAGCTTCCTTGGATCTATCAGTAGCAGCTCTTTTGCGCAACAGCATCGCGCGGACCCTGACCTCAAGCGTCTCCATGAATACCTGGAAGGCAAAACTTCATCACCCCCTGCATCATTCAAGCGCGGACTCTCATCCTTCTGTTTTCAAAACGGCATCATCGTAAAGAAGAACTTTGCGCCCAATAAGACTACGTATCTTATTGTCGTTCCCAGCAATTTTCGAAAAAAAAATTCTACAGGCTTCCCACGACGATCCGACTGCTGGACACCTTGGATATGCGCGCACTCTTCGCCGAATCCAAGAGAAATTCTACTGGCACGACTGCCCACCACCGTCGCGCGGTACGTAAAGACTTGCCGTGAATGCCAACGAAGAATGAGGCCACCGACCAGGCCAGCCGGGCTGCTGAACCCCATACCACCCCCAGCAAAGCCTTTCCAACAGATTGGAATGGACCGTCTTGGTCCCTTTCAGACATCAACTTCTGGCAATAGAATGATAATCGTAGCAACTGACTACCTCGCCCGTTATGCCGAAGCAAAAGCCTTGCCGAACGGAACAGCAGAGGAGGTCGCAAAGTTTTTTGTCAACTGCATCCTGTTGCGACACGATGCCCCCGAGGTCCTCATCACGGACAGGGGAACAGCGTTCACGGCAGAGCTAATGCAAGCTATCCTGCACCACAGTCAAACCAGCCACCAGAAGACTACTGCGTATCATCCGCAGACAAACGGCCTCGTGGAACGGCTGAACAAAACTATCGCTGACATGCTTGCCATGTATGTCGATGCAGAACACAAAACCTGGGACAGCATCCTTCCCATCGTCGTATTTGCCTATAACACTGCAATACAAGAGACCACGCGCATGACGCCTTTTAGCCTCGTCTACGGCAGAGAGGCAGCTACAACGTTGGACGCCATGCTCCCAGATTCACAGAAGAGAACCACAACGTCGCCACCTACCTTCAACGTGCCGAACAAGCCCGACAACTTGCACGCCTACGGATTAAGGAACAGTAGCCCATCGACGCTCGACGCTACAACTTACGCCACTGCCATACGGAATACAAACCCGGTGACCGCGTGTGGATTTCGACCCCCATTCGCCGCTGAGGACTCAGCGAAAAGTTGTTGTGCCGTTATTTTAGACCTTACAAGGTCATACGTCGTGTTAGTGAACTGGACTATGAAGTTGTCCCCGATGGCGCGACGACACCGCAACGGCGCCACGCTAACCCAGAACTTGTGCATGTCGTGCGCCTTAAACCTTATTACACGCGGTAATAGACCTTACAGTTTGCAATGTCAACTGCGAATTTTGATCTTCCTTTTTGTTCTCGTGTGTTCTTATGACACTGTTCTCGGTTTTCAATGTTTGCTCTTTTAAGCATCGGGCCGATGCTTATTTAAAAGGGGAGTAATGCCGCAATCACTTGCCATCCTTATCGCTTTGCTTGTGACGCACGTGGCTAGTGTGTATCTGCGCTCCATCATGAAGGCGTGATCCGTGAACTTATCTTCGTGCCGCGTTTTATCGGAAAACGCCCCTCGCGAATAAGCCGAGGGCACCGGTGTAGTTGTTCGCCAGCTGTACGGCGGTTCACTTGTTTCTTTCGGGCGCAGGTCAGCTTCAGTGAAATAAAAGATTGTTGCGGCTTGCTCCCGATCCTGTCGTGCACGTTCCTTCATCGTCGCGGCTACGTGACACTATTATCACTCATGGCCCCGGTGTACGAGACAAATCTGAACTTTGCTGTCAACGACATCGCGCTTGTTCGCTATCCGATTCGATTCGCACGGGAATTTCACTATTCGGAACAATTCGAACTTCCCGAAGACAAATACAGACACCGTTCGATTGCAAGTGACCCCTTCAAATTTTCATTATGTTTCACCTCATCACACCATCGTATTGCGGCAAAGCTGCCTTTCAGGCTCAACTAAGGTCAAACTTTTTTAAGACCATACAATCAACAGTACCGTCAAAAAATACCTGTCAACTTGCGATACACGATTCCGATTGAAAGTTGCCCTTTCAGATTTTCAATACGCATCACCCCATTGTATTCTCGTATTGCAGAAAAGCTGCCTTTAAAGCTCTGCTACAGTCGCAAATGTATTGACTTCAGCAAATGCTGGTTCAAACATTGAGATGACGGATGTCGCAGAGGTGGGGAATCAATTAATGCTGTTTTTTCACCTGAAATTTGGCCAGGAAGTCCGAAAAATCGGACAATGAAGATTTTTGGCCACTCAAGTTTCAGATTTTATATATTGATGTCTACGAGGCAGATTTGGAACTCTGGACATGGAGGGAGCACACCCTCGTGCGCCACATCAGTTGGGCTTCCACAGAAGTTGAGAAAGGAGGATAGGCTCAGCAATTCGCATCTTTGCCTTTAATGCGTTATGTTGTCGGCAACACTTTGATTGCACCAAATCACGTACAGTAAAAGCTCGTTAATTCGGATTTCACGGGACCGGAAAAACTGTCCGAATTAACCGAATGCCGAATTGACAGGGAAAACAACATTTAAAATCAAGCTGCAGAAGCATACCTTCATTTGTTGAAGTATTTTTAAAACTACTTTGATGCCCTTCAGTTCGACTGTACAGTTATGGGCACTGCAGTTGTCAACAACCATAATTATCTTGCGGTCCTTGGACGTGAAGTGCCAGTCCAACTGCTGCAGCCAGCCGCGAAAACTGTCCGATGTCATTCATGCCTTCCTGTTCGCTGTGTACTTGACAGGAAGGCTTTTGACGTTCTTAAAACAACGTGGCTTAAGCGCCTTCCCGACGACAAGCAGTGGCAAGCGCTCCGTGCCAGTCATATTGGCGGCAAGAAGCACAGTTATCCTTTGCTTGCACTTCTTGCCACCAATGCACGCGTCCCCTTTGAAAGTCACCGCCTTGTGGGGCAGAGCTCTGAAAAATAGAGCAATTTCATCTGCATTGAACACGTCACGTGGTTCATATGCGGCGATGTGCTCCAGCAGCTTCACATTTCTCCACTCGGTGGTCACGCTTTCGTCAACACTGGCCTTTTCGCCGCACACACTCCTGAAGACAAGTTCGTGTCTCTCTCGAAACCTCGCAAACCACCCTTCAGACACTTTGAACGATTCAATGTTTATCATTGCAGCGTACTTCTCACCTTGCACCATTATGAGAGGTCCGCTCAAAGGCAGATGCGCGTTGCGACAGTCAGTAATCCACCGGAGCAAAGCTTCTTCGAGCTGGGGATGAGCTGCGGTTCGCAACCGCTTTTTAGAGGCATGAAACCTCTCGCTTTCGAAGGCTTGTCGAATCTGTTGTTCATTTTTCACGTACGTTCCCAACGTGCTCCGCTTCACGTTGTACTTGGTCATAACCTGCTGTCGCGATTCGCGGTTCTTCAGTGCTTCCAAAATTTCCACTTTAGTCGCCAAGTTCTTCGCGTCGTAGTTCTGCCGCTTTTTCGGCGTTGCCATCACTGTAGCGCACGATGGTGGTGGCATGCAAATACGGTCACAATGGAAGAAAAAAAGAACTCCGCAAGAAGAGATGGTTCCGACACGACAACACAAGGGAAAATGGCGTCAGAGGCGCTGAGTGGAGAAGAAAGAAGACGCCGACGTTCGGTGACGCTGCGATCGCCCCCACTAGTTGATGATGATGGCGATGCCACTCAGGTTTCGGTTTCACTCCAGTGGTGCCAGCGCTGCTTTATCACACTTTTGTGTAGTAGCAGCCGTCAGCATTTGTCCGAATTAAACGGTGCGGAGCCGAATTCCGACAAAATAACGAAGGTTTGGTCCCATAGATTAACATGCACTTTGGCCGGGACCAATAGAGCCGTCGGAATTATCCTAATTTCCGAATTAACGGGTGTCGAATTAACGGGTGTCGTATTAACGAGCTTTTACTGTACATGAGTACAATTTGGCCACTGCATTGCCTCATTCTTGATAAGACAACTGTGGAACACCATCATGCCAGTGCTTTAACAACCTAGCGAAAAGAAACTTTCATGTTGCTCTTTCATAAGAATATGCTAAGGTATCCTCTCCAACTTTCTTTCTGAAATTTCATTACGAAGTATTAGAAAAATGTTCAAGAAATATTCTAAAAGTATTCTACTCGATTTGCACTTGCACTTCTACACTCGAATTCGCTTTGCACCCAAAACTTTGCTCTTGGCACAGCTCCACTCATCAGGGTTCCACTTCGGGTCCCGCAACTTACAGTCAATCCAATTTTCATAAATACATACACGAGACATACGTACTAAACTGATGCGACATGTGCCCCTTAGAATGCAATATTCCGTCAAAAATGATAAAAGCCCAAAATTGCCGAACCACTGGAGACAACAAAGCCTAGTTAAGACAAACTTGCATAAATCTAATAATCATTCCAACGCTTACTGGGCCACCGTGCTTGTAGCTCCCATGGCCAATAACAGCAATTCTCAATGTCTCGGCCTTCGAAGGAAAGCTACTGTACGTGACTATGTAACCTATTGCAGATTTTTCCTAAGTGTGGTGCACTATCACACATGAAAAAGGAGACTACATATCTATGTCACTGGATTCTTGGATGAAGGCCACAATGAACTGAGCAAAACACAAAAAGAAAACTTGATACTAGTGTGTTTGTCGGCATGGTGTGGTTGGTCGCATGTGATGCACTGCCAGAACAGCGCTAACAACGGAGACCAAGACAAGTACTCCATTAATGCAGCAAGCTTGGGTACTGAGTATAGTGTAGTTTTACACAGAACTGAATACTAACTAATACTGAGATACTTTCGCACAGTAAGCCTGCCTGTCTGTCATAACTGGGAGTTACTGCACAGAGCGAAAGACCCACCTGTGCCCATCGCACGAGGTCAGTGGTTGGGGCACGGAGATGACTGTGCCGCTTTCGCTCGAACTCTGCGCCTGCGCTCCCATCTGGTGGTAGTTGTTGAGACCACAGCCATACAGACGGCCAGTCTCGCGCAGCCGCACAAACGTGGCATAAGCAGCAGCCCAAACCCTGTCAAAGGCCCGGGTCTTGCAACCTGGACACAATGCCAGATCACATCTCAGCAGTGAAGAGCAAACACGTATTGATCTAAAGGAACAGTCAAGGCAAACACAGTAAAAACTTGTTAACTGGAACTCAAAGGGGATTATAAAAATGTTCGAATTAGGCAGCAGGCGGGCCCGGGCAATAAAGCGAACAGATATCCTGGCACACTGCACGAGCAGTAAACCGAAAGAAGCCACCTCCACTTCTTCCAACCCCCCTCCCCCTCAGAGCTCTCATTAGACCATTTTCTTTCCCGTTTCAACGCTTTGAAACATGAAGCAGTGTGATTGTACAGAGCTTACAGAGTCCCTGCCACACAACCCAAGTCATTAGCTTGTATTTGGACAGGACCATTGATTGATATGTGGGGTTTAACGTCTCAAAACCACCATATGATTATGAGAGACGCCGTAGTGAAGGGCTCCGGAAATTTCGACCACCTGGGGTTCTTTAACGTGCACCCAAATCTGAGCACACGGTACAACATTTCCGCCTCCATCGGAAATTCAGCCGCCGCAGCCGGGATTCAAACCCGCAACCTGCGGGTCAGCAGCGAAGTGCCTTAGCCACTAGACCACCGCAGCGGGGCTTTGGACAGGACCAGAAAAGCAGTCGACGGTCTCTGCAAAGGAGCGAGGCCTTGCAACGTCAATACATATGATTGTTGGAGACGCACACAACTGCCAACTTTCTGATTTGCGCAGGGAAAAACCTCCCTATAATGCAAGCACGGCCGTATAGTATTTCTAAAAAAACATATTCTAAACACCACTGTGATAAGAGGATAATAGCAAAGGACAGAGGTTCAAAAATGTTCTGGCCTAATATCATGTTCTGGTCAATAAATGTTCTGGTCAATATCAAGTTGGGCTTATAAACAGTAAATCAAACATACGCTCGAACCTCATTACAACAAAATCACATCTGCCCCGAAAATAGTTTGTTACACCTGAAAGTTTGTTATAAATGAACGATTATATGTACCCCTATTACCGTACATACTCGTATAATCCTCGCACCTTTTTTGGCGGAAAACTGAGTTACGCGGGGGAAACTTTCCACGAAAACGTACAGAGCAAAAAAGGAAAAATTGACCGCAAATCAGGATTCTCATGCCGGCAAGCAACAGCAAGCTTCGAGAAGTACCAATTAAAACTTACCTCAACAATAAAAGCACAGGTTCAACACAAGCCAAGATTTACTTGAGACACAAAAGACGCAAGCAAAGAGTTGAGAATTAGAATATTGTACGCTAAGCTTGTGGGCGTTGCGGTAGCATTCGTCACTCAGCAGGAGCCCGCAAAAGGTAAGCGTAGAACGTCACTATTGAGCTGACGGCCCTTAAACAGAATCATCCGCAGTTGCCTTCTGACAAAATAAAGTTTAGCATCAATCCCAGTCTTATGCACACGGAAGGCCCACATCTTGGTGGCTTTCAGCTGCTGTCACAAGCAGCAAACACAAAACTCGTCGACTCTGAAGGGCCTACCGGAGACCCTGTTGCCTTTGTTTAGTGCATGATCAATGACTTTCAACTTGAAAGCAGCCGTGTAGTTTCTGTATCGCCTCGTAACATAACATTACGGACACAACGTACAAAACATGCTGCAATGCCTACTTGCTACTTTGGCTTGGATTGGATTGAATGTCTGTGCAATATTAGTAGGCTCTATGCTAAGGAGATAGCGCCAGATGGCACATGCTATCATCATGAGTGACTGGAACGAACAGACAACATTGTTGCGGCAATTTTCGGGGGTGCGATAATTACTCCAGGAAAAAAAAAAAGAAATTGTGCTTTTATTGGGCAATGTGGGGGTGCGACAATTATGCGAGTAAATACGGTATGACAAAGCTATTGGTCACTTACTTCGCTATAATCAATAATTCGTTATATCCGAATTCATATACCGAGGTTTGAATGCATGTTTAGCGGTAGCAGTGATTCTGATAGGGGTCATACCTAACTTTTGCACCTGTTCACTCAAGTCAAAATAAAAGTTTATATAAAACCCTCAGTGGTAAGCTTGGGCCGTGTTTGTGGTCACCCTGAGGCATATGTGAACACACCCTTCTTCGGGATTTCCCGAATGGTCTACATCTCTTCTCGTGCTCGAATTTGTAAGCTTCCACCCGAAATAGTAAGCCTCTCAGGTTTTTCAATGATTCAGTAAAGCACTGCAGGAAGATTTTCACCAACGGCAGGTAGCATGGTATACCTGATACGCTCGTTGTCCCGATTCTTTGACTGCTGTATATACACATGTGCGCGGCCCAGGTCAGGAACTAAGCAACGATTCTTGCTTTAGCGGGAATTTGCGTCTATAAATGCTGCAGTGGTGAGCAGGAAAGCCGAAGTATCACATCATTTCGCACAACACACCTTTGCCGTCGACACAAAGTGACATTCCATTGGTAGCCTTCGGCCATGTAATTTAGGTGCATGCCCCTAGGCATGTGTTTCTGCACTAATGCCTGAAATCAACCCTTTCATCTATGCACCGTGTCATCAAACTTCATCGTTTGTCATACCAGCAACGTTCGCTGCGACATAGAACTACGGCTCCTCTACGTGGAAGTAACTTTCAATAAAAATGCAAAAAAAAAAAGATAGTAGTAATACTATTGTTGAAATAAAAAAGGCACCGCAGACGATTGTCACTTCGGTGGAAGCATTGTCAAGAGCAACAAAAGGAAAACAGAGCCACTTCGACTTCACCAGAGAACATGGCCAGTTCAAGCCACGACTTTTACATTACGGAAGTATGTGGCTTCTTAAGGAGCACGGCGATTTCTTCCCAAAGAATGCTCTTCTTACGCTTTTTGTGGATATCATCCATCTTGACGTCCCAAAGAAGAGGTCGTTTTACAACTTCTGCAATCAGCAACTCGTTGAAATCAGCGCGAGACATTTGTGAGCCGGCGAGAGGACAGATGTCGTCTGCTACTCAGTCGAAGCGAGTTGTTCTGTGGAGCGAAGTTCCCGCAGCGCGCGCGTTCACTCCTCGACTTCGCCCCTGGCATGCCTTTAGTTCTTTATCACTTGTGTATTAAAAGTATTTGCAGCAATTTAGCATTTACTGTCATGTGTATTTAATTCGATAAAATATACCTTAAAAGCTACCCTGTCATTGATTTTGTGTATAGATTCATAATCATATTAACTGCACCTCTGCTCCTGACATGTAATAAAATAATCATGTAATAGATTGGACCACTGACTAGCCACACAGGCTAATGGTCCAAATACTTTTGTAACCATGTTTTTGTATTACGTTGATTGAATAAACACTGATGATGATGATGATCACGTGTCAAACGAAGTCACTGGTCGCTCTGCCACGAGCGAATTTTTCCAACTGAGGCGAATTTCACTAGAGCGACCAGTCGTTGCGGTAGAAACCTGTTTTGGCCTTGCACGGCAGCTGCCGCTCCTTTCTTGGAGCGAAATCACTCGCATGTGAAACAGGCTTTAGGCACATGGAAGGCCCGCATCTTGGTGGCTTTCAGCTGCTGTCACGAGCAGCGAACACGAAACTTGTCGACTCTGAAGGGCCTACCGGAGGCCCTGTTGCCTTTGTTTAGTGCATGATCAATGACTTTCAACTTGAAAGCAGCCGTGTAGTTTCTGTATCGCCCCATAACGTAACATTACGGACACAACGTACAAAACATGCTGCAATGCCTACTTGCTACTTTGGCTTGGATTGGATTGAATGTACAATAATAGTACGCTCTATGTTTAGGAGATAGCGCCAGATGGCACACGCTATCATCATCAGTAGATGGAACGAGCAGACGACATTGTTGCGGCAATTATCGGGGGGGGGGGGGGGGGGAGATAATTACTCGAGGAAAAAAAGAAAATGTTTTTTTATTGGGCAATGTGGGGGGTGCGAGAAGTATGCGAGTGCGAGAGTTATGCGAGTAAATATGGTATAACAAAGCTATTGGTCACTTACTTCGCTATAATTGATAATTCGTTATATCAGAATTCATATACCAAGGTTTGAGTGTATGTTTAGCGGTAGCAGTGATTCTGATTGGGGTAGCAACAATCTGAAAAAGCAAAGGTAATGAGAATCTAGGAGTGCCAAGCATTCATGCCCGTTGGGTTCATTGTTGACCCATCAATATCAGCTAAATTAAAATCCTCAGCTAATATTACCTTTATGTTATCGCCCGAGAAGTGCTGTGTATATAATCGTAGAATTGTTCAAGAAAGCCAAGATCAGTTGTCAGAGGGCGGTACACAACACCACTAACAGTTTAATTACCGTACAAATCTATTTTGCAAAAGATGCTTTCACACTCTTAAAAAGCCAGTGAAACCTTCCCATTTATGCTTTTAATGACAAATGCAACTCTACCTTTTTCGGTTTGCCTATCACATCTGAGTATTTCGGACGTTAGAAGAACTATTTCATCATAATTCACTCCAGCGTGCAACCAGGTCTCCATCACCAGAGTAACATCCAGTTTTAAGGCCATAAAGTAACACTGTTCAGCTGTTATATTCATGACATTTGCACGTTTAAACAAGCAGCCGTAATTTACGCATAATTTTACCGTCATTGGATGCCCCACAGGCGGTCTTTTCTTGCCCCGTTTGTAGCCTCATTTGCCCTATGCGCAGTTTCCTTGTCGGCGTTCGGTTGATCATTTGAACATTGCAAGGTGCATCAAGATTTTCATTATCTTGTGCGATGCAATGTGCACCGGGCAGGACAAGCTTGAGTCTTGGGTTCATTTCTTCATCGTACATAACTTGATTGATAAGCAGCTCATCATACTTCAAATACACTTTATCCTCAGGCGTGTGGCTATCTTCAACGGTTGACCACAGATGCTTTGTCGAGTAAATATCCATCGGACATAGGCAATTCTTAGTTTCCTTGCATTTTTTTTAGTAGCTGGACTTCATTGCTACCAAAAAAGCGCATTATCACCGGGCATCGTTTGTTTGCTTTCTGTCTAAACGATGAATGCTTTCAAGGCCGCTAACTTGAATTCCTAGTCTATTTTCGAAGACATCTCTTAAA